CAGAAGGATGGATGTTATTGAACTTTAAGTGGCAGGAAGAGTCCGGTTTTACAGAAGCAGCAGCTGACTGAGCGACTGGTCATTGTGGATGATGTTCAGCTCATCTCCTTGTTTTATGGTGTGGAAGAAAGGAGGGGAGGCTTACCTTTGTGCAGAGTGTGTTTTGGACTGCGGTTGTCGTTCACTCAGCAGCCGTAAATATGCTAAATTGGATTGGCATGATGAAGAGTGACTGATCCTGAAGCACATCCACGGAATTACTGTGGAGATGTTGATTCCAGCGTTTAATCTCCTTCCAGGAAAACGGTGGATGGAAGCGGCCAAACTGAGTCAAACTCTCACTTCCATGGATTTGCACCGAACATGGTGGATGTGATGAAATCCCTTTTTTAAAATCTCTGAATTGGACCGGGGGGGGGTCCAATTTTTTTTTTAACTGAAACCAACCGTGCCTCGGTTGCCATATCTGTCTGCTCGGTGTGTACGGCGTGTGTGCTCGGTCATGTGCAGTTTGCCTCCGTTTGCAAATCAATAGGATGTACCTGTGATTTGTTTACGTGTGTACATGAATGTGCAGGGATCACAGTGTATGAAACGTTGTGATCTTTCGCTGCTCCTTCAACGGCTAAACACGGCTTTTCATGTGCACTCAGCCACACACACACACAGATGGTTTTTTTCTGTGAAATTCAGGCTGGAACTTTAACCTTGCTGCAGTTCCTCCGTGAGGCGTTTTGTCAGAGAAGGTCAGACAGAAAATTTGTTGTTACTGTAAAAGTAGTTTTGCATATTAAACCACTGCAGAGAACAAGGCGTCCTGATATCAAGACACCCAGGTCTAGAAGAGAAAAGCAACAGTTTGTGAGAACGAGGAAATTCTTCTCACTGCTGTGAGTGTTGAACATCCATCCATCCATCCATCCATCCATCCATTTTCATCCGCTTATCCGTTACCAGGTCGCAGGGGCAGCAGTCGCCACCCGCATCACATTGCACCGTACCAACCCCCCCAAACCTTCCTGCGGGTGGTGAGTCCACTGGAAGAGTGTTGAACATTTAGATCAAAACCAAACACATTTCAAGGATGAATGGAGCAAAAATAATGACAACAGCATCGTCTCCGGTAGAGCTGGTACATTCTCACAAAATGCAATAAAAATAAATGTTATTTCGACAACAAATGTTGGTTGTAAGTTATAGTCTGAGTCTTCAACTTCAGTGTTTGGTCTTAGTACAGTTTCCCACAGTATTGATTCATAATTTGAGTTTCCTTTAGATAGAAGATAAATGTTGCAGCCTTGTCTCATAAAATAAATACATGCAGTAAAGCCATTAAATACATAATTAACAGAATTTTAAAAAGAGCAAAAACTAGATTTTTAATAAAACAAACTCCTCAGAAACTCATACATATTGCATTTTGTTTTATTTTTTATAGAGAGTTTATGCTTCGCTGGATAGCAGGCATGAGTCTAAGAACTGTCTAAGAACTCGTCGTCGACGTCTGCGGTGGTTACCTGTGATTAAGTGATTAACTTCAAGTGATTCTTCGTCTTACGTGTAGACATTATTATTGCTGGGAAAAAAGATGCATGATTTTATTAGAATATTTCTCTCTCTCTCTCTCTCGCTCTCTCTCCTTCCGTTAAATGTGAATCTTATACTGTAATTACACGGATGAAACTCCGTTCCCTCCAGTGCTCTTCTTCTCTCCCTCTCTTACTCCATGTCTGTGATTTCATGTATAATTACTTGCATAATTATAGTTCCTTCCGTCCTACTGTTTCAGGAGGTCTGTGTCTGTCTCTCTGGTATCTCTTCCCTTTTGTTTCCTTAACACACACACACACATATGCGCAAAACCTGCCATGCACATAGTCTTAAGAGTGCTCGCACCCCACTGATTTGGCCTCCCATTTGTCTGCTGGAGAGACTCGTCCTGTCACTCTCTTTTTGTCTCGTCTGTGTCTGCGGCAGGCCTGTTCTAATATTGGAAAGACAGCAGAGCCCAGCAGAAACAGTGTGCATGAGGAAGCTGGTGCTTCTCTCCTCGGTTGCCATGCTCCCTCATTAATAATTCATAAAGGCATCACAAACTTAAAGAGCCTCAAGGTGTGTCACAGGGAATGATGGGAAAAACAAAATGCTCTTTTTTTCCCCCTGCCTTTTCACATTAAGCATTTTGAAGCAGTGTGAGCACACACACACACACACGCACACACACACACACACAGTGTTTTGTGCAGGTATTTTTGAAAGGACTGTGCTTTGACTTACATTCCTTTGCACAGCCTCACGACCGCCTTGAATCTGAACATAACTATAACCAGCTACTGTCTGTCTGCTCTGTAGTTCAGTGGGTAAATAGTCTTTCAGCCGAAGGGTCAGGTGTTCAATCTCAGGAGCAGTCCCCGGGCAAAACACTTAACCCCAGTATAAATGTACCAGGTGTTTCATTATTCATAAAAGTGCTATGTAAGATGTAGAGTGTAGTTTTTGTTGGCAGGGATACAAAAAAATTGCGTTAAATATTTATTTTGAACATAATCTGATGTGATATTTTGAATTCATTAAGAACTCTGGTTCCTTTGGAAGCTCTGGTGTAGTTAGATAATGTACATCTCAATAAATTTCCTAAATTTGCCCAACAATGTGGCACATTAGCTGCAAAGTCAAAGCTACTGGGGCTAGACTTACGCCACAGTTTTTAAAGTCGCTCCCTTAACAATGAACAGACCAACTTAAAGCAGAATCACAGTGGATTTTATGAATACTGTCAGCATGAACAAGTACGAAGAAGTATGATCCACATACATACAGGAGCAGTTACAAACAGTTCACCAGCACAGAGTTTCTCACTTAGGAATGAAACAAGCTGTTAATGTGGTTGATGAATATTTTGATTTTAAAAATACTAGTTTATATATATAAACTAGTATTTTTAAAATCAAAATATTCATCAACCACATTAACAGCTTGTTTCATTCCTAAGTGAGAAACTCTGTGCTGGTGAACTGTTTGTAACTGCTCCTGTATGTATGTGGATCATACTTCTTCGTACTTGTTCATGCTGACAGTATTCATAAAATCCACTGTGATTCTGCTTTAAGTTGGTCTGTTCATTGTTAAGGGAGCGACTTTAAAAACTGTGGCGTAAGTCTAGCCCCAGTAGCTTTGACTTTGCAGCTAATGTGCCACATTGTTGGGCAAATTTAGGAAATTTATTGAGATGTACATTATCTAACAATCCTAACCCTAATTTATATTTCACTACATCCTAATTTTTCCCAGAGCCTCATAAATGAGGTTCTGCCTCATTAGGACCAGGCTTTGATCCCCATTAGTACTTTCCTTGTAGAAAAAAAAAATCTGTAACAATGCCAGGAACAGCACACACACACACACACACACACACACACACACAGTGTAAATCAGTGGCTTCTCACATTGGAGAAGTTTCGGAGGGATGTTACCAGCAGATACAATTAGCGTGATTGCTTAGCAACTGAACATGACTTTTGAGGGAGTGCGATCACAGGGTAAAGCTCAGGTGCTGTGTTGAATCACACTTTTTTTTCCCAGAATGTTTTCTTGGAATTTTCACATGAAGCAGCATGGAGCCTTACTTTAACACGAGTTTCGTGTGTCAGTCAGCAGAACACTGTTGCACACAGATTAACTGACAATAAGATGACATAGACACAACACATAATCCACATCGCCGCACACTCTCGCCGACCCATCGCCTGCTCAACAAGGTTCGAAATTTAGCCTTTGTGCTGCACTGCAGGTCTACTGTGCAGCCAATCGTGGCCTATTTTCAGGTACCTGGAGGATTTCCACAGCCTGATCGGGGCATTCTCTGCTCTCACCCCATTTCAACTAATCTCAAACATGCTGAAATGTAAAGAAGGAAACCGTAGCCGGTGTGCTGCCGGTCTCAGCCTGACTGTCAAGAGTCAGGACCTAAAAAAAGATGTTTGAGAATCGCTCAGGTATCAGGTGTCAGTCAGTAAGGCATTATTTATTACTTCACAACCTGCCACTCACAATTACACCACGGGCCTTGATGACGGTCATTTGTAGTCTTTGTTATTGTGTTCTAACCCCCTCTGCTGGAGAGATACGAGACAAAGACCTCTAATGGACAGCCTTGGATCAGGTCTGAGAAATACATTTCCCTGGAATCCTCCGTGGTGGCGGATACACGGTCTTTGCTGAAGAGCAGTAATTGATTTTTCCGTCAAACCTTAAATATGAAATGTGTTTTCCCTCGTCTGGATTGTTCCTCAGTTACTTCTTCCTGTTCAGCATGTGTTAGGCAAAGCTAAATTACTTGGGACGGTGGTCGGGGTTAAAACCCATCAGTGAGGCTGTGATTTGGTGTGTGAGGCGAGCTGCGGACGACTCTCCCAGCAGAGATGGTGCTGTGTTTGTTTTGCGGGTGTGTAGATTAGCGGTAATTCGTTTGCTCAGTAATGACGTGGGAGACCTAATTAGGGCAGTGTTGATGGGTGCATTAATTAGTCTCTAGAGAGTGATGCTAATGAGACCCTGATGTGGAGTGTGTGTTTGTATTTGCATGTGCATGAGTGTATTTCATCTATGTGGAAGGCCCACCGTCATACTGTAGGTCATGCTATTGGAACTGTAGCATCTGTAAGATCAGAGCATGCGCTAATGTTGAAAGAATTCAGTGTGCATCTACGATTCACCAAGAGTCTGAATGGGAAGAATGCAGCAGGTTCCTATCTGTGTATAAAACCCACTTAAATCCCAGCAGCTCCATGTTGTTGGCCATGCTCGGCTGAATGCTGATCCTTCCGTTCAGCCATCACGGGGTCGATGGGCCCTGGCACACATCACTACAAAGAGGTGTGGAACTGCACAGTCACACCGTGGTGGTTTCAAAGCTACAACTGCATCACAATCATAAATTCATATCAACTATAAAAACGTCCTGAACACGAAACAGACAACACACACACAGAGAGGTGTAATGGATGACAGGCTGCTTTATAAGAGTGCTCAGAAACAGGTCCAGTTCACAGATAAGAAGGATCCAGGGTGAGGGCGGTCACAGTCGGGCACAGCTACTACACTACTCTGGGGCGTCGCTCAGTCAGGAGGTGACAGTCTGACAGCCTGCTGTAAGGGTTTAGAATTTAAGGAGCTGAAGGAGACGAGCATATGGGAGTTGTCATCAATGATCTAGTCTAATGATATTTATTCATGACTACTCTGTTACACATCATCCATCACTGTTGCTGTTCAACTGTTTCTTCTGTTGTTTTGTCCGTCGCTCATTTCTTGGCTTCCACTTTCTCTTGCGCAACTGCGGAGAAAAAGAAACAGTTGCGTCAGCATCGCAGGACGCCAGATTAATCTGAAAGTAAGTCGTTGACAGTCCGACTTTGACCACTCATAGATTGATGAAACCGAAACGTTCATGTAAATATTTGGCAAAAAAAAATGATTCCTTACCAAACACAGTTTTGAGTGCGACCATCGATAGATCCAAGCATAAAAGTCACTTATTTTAAATTTAGCAAACATCTGTAAAATAATTCTCACTTCATCTGCCCTCAATTGTTTCAAGACAATTGACAGAGGACGCGACTGTGAACATAACCTGCTCAAACTACTGCGTTTAAAAATGATTTTTATGAATACCTTTTGCAGACCACTTCAAGTCAGGTCTCTTTTTCCTATTTTTCGTTTTTATTTATTTTACATATATACTCTCAGTACTTCTGATCAAGCCCACTGTTTTTGATTTTTTACAACATACCTCGGACTTCCAGCTTGCACTCCACCTCATCCTGACCCAAATCATTGATGGCCCTGCAGCTGTATCTGCCCCCGTCAAACAGACTTGGCTTGCGGATATTCAAGGTCAAAACCCCCTGGTTGTTCAGCATAAGGTACTTGGGGTCTTCACCGATGATCATGTTATTTTTCATCCAAATGATCTTTGGCTGTGTGTTGAAAAGGAGGAGGAGGAGGGAAGAAAAAAAAAGAGAGATGTCAGTAGGGTAGGCGACCAGAGGGCGAGTGGAAATTAAGTTGACAAATCTTTGTCAATTCGATGAGATTAAAAAAAACATGTCACAGAGGTTCCTTATTTGGATTTCTTTCTATCTTAATCTTAAAAAAAGCTTAAAGTTTAATCTTTAATCTTAAAGTTCTGCTTGACACCCAACACTTGCTTTGTAAAAGACAAAGCATTAAATGTGTGTCATACCCTGCAGCACAGCTACAAGAGGTGAATACTGGTAAGAAAAAGAAAACAGGCTGAAAAAAGGGTTCAGGGTGATTTTTCATTTCTGAGATGCAGCTGGAACTTGTGTTTTCTACAAATATACAAAATAGCACAGCTATTACCCACGCATTCATATCTCTCTCTATATATATATGTGTGTGTGTATATATATATATATTGAAATACCTTTGGGTGGGCTCGGACAGCACAGCTGATCGCAGCTGAGTAACCTGCAATCACGCTTCTGTCCATCAGAGGCGTTGTAAATTTTGGGGATCTGCTCATGTCTTGTTCTTTATAGGGTGGAGGGTTAAAGGTCAAACCTGGAGATAAAGAGACAGTCATTGGTTAAAGGAGTGACTCTGATGAACAGAATGATTGGCTGATTCTCTGACTAAAGTTGTTACTGTGCCTAAACACTATCTCTGAACTCTGTCACTTTCAAACTGATGGCTGCTCCCCACCTGGGGAAGTGGTTACAGAATTTATTTTTTCTAATATTTTTTACATTTTAAAATTCTTATTTAAACTAATTTTCAGCTGTCACCTGTAGTCAGGGCCTCCTTATGTCACCATTTCAGGATAATTTCAGTTAATTAAACCTTTTTGTAATTTAACCTTAAGTTGATGTATAATTTGTTGTTAGATATTCGTGCCAAACAAGATGTTTTATACTGAAAGCATACGTCACAATATTTCACTAATATTGTTGTCATTTTATTCAGATTGCCAGTTTAATAATGGTGGCAGAAACAGACTTTTGCCGTCCTGGGGTCAGGTGGGCACTGTGATCAACAATCCCCACAAACAAGATTGGCTGGCCGGCTGCCAAAATGATCTGATGAAATAAACAAACGCAAAACACAACAACAGTCGGAGCATTTGGCTGGTGGCAGGTGTTAATTTCCCAGCCTAGCTGTTTTCATAATCCACGTCCCGTGTTTAATGTTATTTAACACTCGGCCGAGGAATATTTCTGTCCAACGTAATCACTGTAAATTAATTTTCTTTTAAATTAGATTCAAGCATTTAATCATGAGCAGCCAGTAATCTCAAGTTGCTCTAATATTATTACTATGTTCTGTAGTTAAACGCCACATTAAAGGCTGTATTTTTAGCCACTGCACGTCCAAACTTAATCACATTCCTGATAACTTCCTTTTTTCACTGTCATACCCATTATATACCACCAGGCCCAGTGTATGTTGCACGCTGCACACACAGAAACTCATCTGAGCAGTAGCTGCTCCCTGGCACCAAACACAGGATTATTATTTCACGTTGCTCAGCGCTCTGCAGGGATTTCATTACCTGTTTTGTTAATGATGGCGGTGTTCTTGCTGAGGCCGGGCTCTTCGCTGAGGCCACAGATGTTTTCGCTGTACACTCGGAAGGAGTACTCATTTCCCATGACCAGGTCAGACACAGTGCAGCTGGGCCTGCGGTTGTGCTCGTAGACCGTGAACCACTCCTGATGGACAGGAGGGACAGGGACACAAACAGAAACAGGAAGACGTAGATGTTTGAGATCTCCAAAATCACCTCCAAATCAAACTGGAAAACGCAATGACTACCAGATCACGCAGAGTGATATCATTGTATTTGAATAACAAACGTTGAAGCAAAGCAGTTTTTTTGACTGTTTGAAATCCTCCTGTTAATCCATTTCTATTCTCCAAATAAATAAAAATGAGGGCAAGCAACAATTCAGGATGCAAAACCATCTCTGTTCTACCTTCTAGTAGTAAAAAATATATATGTATATTATATACATAATTTATCATGTTTGTAAAAAGATAATTGATGGAAAATACCCTCATGGTTAATTTAATAAAAATGCAGTAATTATTAAAAACCTAATTTGTATTCTAAGTTTATGTTGGGTTAAAAGTATTATAAATAATATAATAAATGTAAAAACTACAAACACATATAAACGCACATGTAGCTAAACTGATTTGTAACACAATTAAAGAACTGCTGTAATTAAACAAAGGCATCAACCCTGAGGTTTCCTTTTCACCCAAACAGAAACAGTGAGTCACCGTCACTGTTGTAGGCGACTACAATAACGACGTTATACTGTACCTCCATTGAACCTCACATCTATTCTGCTCTCCACCTCCGTTCATGCATACCGTAGTCTTCTTGTCGGCCTTCTGAATGGTGTAGCCGATGATCTCACAGTTGCCGTCGTCGCTGGGAGGCTTCCACTCCAGTGCAGCGTTGAAACCCCACACGTCAGTGACACGCACGTTGATAGGAGGCCCCGGTTTCTCTGGTGGAGCATGTGACAGAAGACACAGTTGAGCCAAAGCAGTCTGTATGGACAAGTCAAGTTCATTAGGCAACTGAATTGTATGTCCCTGTGTGTATAGAATCGCAGGCAAAGCTGTTTCGAGCAATAATGAACACATCCGAAGCAAGGAAGTCCCACTGACAGAAGTGAACCAAAAGTCAGAGCACAAAGAGATTTGCTGCGGATTGACAGATCCACAGCTGAGCAAAGACGGAGATGAGAGGAGCTGATAGCTGCATCTAATAACTGAAGAAACACAGTTGACATAGAAGTGACACACTGAGAGAGTGCCCGCCTGAGTCACATAGCAGGAGAATGCAGTGTGTTTATCATCCGCCTGTCTGTGTGGCCTGTTCTATACTCAGTGCAGTGCAGAAATACTGCACAACATAGTAATGTATTTGTCATTAATCTTCAGCTCCGTGCACTCTCTCCTCTGTAGAGTACAGTGCAGGCTGTGAGCAGCACAACTGTTTTCCCATCCAGTTAATTCTTCACGAGGTGTCCTGTGCTGAAACACTAGGCCGACAGATCAGCGAGGTGGGTGGCCCCAGATCAGAGGAGTCAAAGTTTTTCATTAGCTCATCCATCGCCGCAGAGCAAGCAATAGATTAGTAAAATCCAAAACTAATCCCAGTCTACGTACAAATAATCCCAGAGGAGCCCTGCCAAATAATCCATCTGGTAACCTGACCCAGGGAGAGGGGTGGCCACTGTGGCAGTGCAGGAACAAGGATTATGCAAGACAGAGGAATCAGCACTTTGATGATTTGCTACTTTAAGTCACAGATGTGTGGGAGGAAGGAATTAGGAGAAAAAAAAACCCATGACATGTCAGAGATTAGGACCAGGACCAATCATCTCCTTTGACACAGGTTATTAGCAGTGGATGGTGTGAAGTATGAACCAATCTGCTGCTAATGAGAGAGCATCCAGCAAGACTGTTCATCTCTGCAGATAGAGCTGAGCAGCTCTGAGTGTCTGAGTGTCTCTGTGTCTCAGTGTCTCTGTGTCTCTGAGGCAGGACGTACCTACAACCTGAATGTGAATGTCAGCGCTGTCTGACATGTTCTCGATCTGAACACACAGTGTGTAGATTCCAGAGTGTCTCCTCTCCGATGAGCGGATGAACAGAATAGTGTCCACTTCACTGGTACGGGTGCCAACGGTCTTGTCATCCAGGGCGACGCCATCTTTGAACCAGGTCACAATGGGACGTGGTTTACCCTGGGATTTATTGGCAGGAAAACAAAAATACCATGTTTTTAATTTAGCAAAATGTTAATATCAGTCAATGATATGAGTTTAAATCAATCATTTTATTGCAGTCGTGTAGTAAATTGCATTAAAGCACATTGTTACTTTGTTCTCTTTTAGCTATTTCTGCTGTGTTTTTCCCCCTGATATTTAACTATCATGGTTTTACTAACAGCTGTTCTTTGGCTGATCTTTAGCCAACTTTTCCAACTTTAAGCTGCTTTGTTATATTAACGTTTAATTTTGAGCTAGACCCAAATTAATGTAATGTCATTAATGAGATAGTGTTCTTTTGAGCCAGAGTGATTTTTATGCTGTGTTCACAAATTGAATTAACTTAAATAAGATAAAATAGAAGGTCTTGTCAGAACTGCACTGACCTGGAAAGGGATGACGAGGTTGACCTTTTCACCCACCATCCTGATGACCTTGGTCCTCAGTTGGCGAGGCAGGCGGATCTTAGGGTTTTCTGGGCAGTTGGCACGACAAAGACAGACATTGACCATTTTTAACCGCGTGTGGTCGATTTGAAGAACGGGTGGTAAATATATGGCAGGAAATTCACACACATCTGTATGTTGTATTTATAAGTAATAAATATTTGTTTAATATTCAACCTAGTAAATATTAAACTCACCAAAAGCTTCATAATTGAGAGTTTATTTATTTCTACCAGGCAGCTCTAATTATGGTTATACAATTTTAACACTAACCTGAGCAAACAACAACAAAAGATATGATAATAATATCTATTTTAAATATATTTTCTCCATACAGCATTCCTTACCCACTATCTCTCTCATGGTGACAGCCTGAGAGGTCATGGCCGGTGGGCTTCGACCAGCAATGTTGACAGCAGTAACACGGAACAGCATCTTCTCACCCACTGGGAGGTCCTTGACTCTGTACTGGTTCTTAGACACCAGATCTTGGTTAGCCTGCACCCACTGGTCACCTAAGGAATGACGCACATCAGAGAAAACCTGATTTAGTCCATGTACAGTACATAATGTTTAGAAATCTGAATGAGTCAGCTGTTTAATACCGTCATTATTTCATATCTTAGGTTTATAATTCAAAAACACTAACGAAGGGCAATGAAAAACAGACTAGTAATATTAGAGGTTTGGACTGAATGAGATTTCTTAATGTACACATCTTTACATTTCTTTACAAGTGAGAAGATATACAGTAAGATGACGTAGATGGAGTTTTTTAGTTTTAAAAACCTCTGGAAACCCAGGCTAATCTGTACCTGGGCCAATTTTGGATGTTTTTATGTGGCTTTCTTTTTTTAATCTTTACACAAGATTTCTTCAGGAAGTAGAGGGTTAATTTGTGTATTTCTTTGCTTATATTTACTTCCTTCCTTGCAGTACTCAATGATGTAACCGTCGATGCCTCCGGCTCCAATTTTCTCTGGAGGAAGCCACTTGAGTGCACAGGTAGTGTCTGTCACATCATCCACCATTAGACGAGTGGGCTCGCTAGTGGGCGCTAGGAGAGAGAGAGAGAGAGAGCTTATTAACACATTAATGGCCAGATTAAATTGGCCGGCAGGTAGGTTAAGCAGCTTTAGTGAGCACTGTGTGAAAAACCTCCTTTAATTAAGCATTCTGCTAATGGCAAATGACGACACACCAATGGGCATGAAGGGCTTTGAGTTTGAGCTGGGCTGGGAGACGCCAATGCCGTTGACTGCAAACACTCTCATCTCATAAGCCACGCCTTCAATCATCTTCTTAGCCTCGTATGTGGTGGACTCGTAAACATCAAAGTTGAGCTTGGTCCATCTGGACGAGCCCTTCTTCTTCCTCTCCATTAGGTAACCTGGAGGATGAGACACCAGTGTTTGGTGAAGTCATTAAAACAGCTCATTGTTCTTTTGAAAAGAGCTTCAAAATGCTGAGGGGAAACGCAGACAGGAAGTTTTCTAAGCGGCTGTTTCCTCCCAGGAGAAAGACATCAGCTGTGAACATAAGCTGCTGAAAGTTCCAGGGATACCTTTAATGGGAACGCCGCCGTCATACGGAGGGGGGTCCCATATGATTGTGGCAGTGTCCTCGCCAACTGATGTGCATTTGACATTCTCAGGAGGATGAGGTACATCTGGAGGGGAAGGGAACAGTTGGGAAAGGAACAAGAGGAGGATGAAACAGGGAGAAAAATGTGGAGGCATGACAGGCAGAAATAAGTGAGGTATTTATGCAGTACAGTATGAAGCACATAGACGTCTGCGGCAGAAAGCACTCATCTGAGACTTTCTTTGAACCCATTCTGGCAATTCATAAAGTTTGTTTTGCCTTTTGTGAAACTTTAACAGTGCTTTAGCAGTTTTGATAGCACAAAACTCACCTCAAAATTATTTTTCCAAAGTCAGAGATTACAAATACACATACAATTAGAGATTCAGAGTGCAATATTTAACTCAATGTTTTCTATTCTGTTGGCCTATGCCTACTAATGCTTGTCATTGTTATCGTGACCCGAGACATACGCCGCCATGTTGAGTCATCATATGAGCTCAAAAAAAGAACCAAACACTTTTGGAGTTTTGTTTTGTATATATCTAAAAACTTTCGTTTTAGATTTATTTAGCATGTTACAATAGAGTTTGTTTTTAATTTCAGATAATACCATTTTTTTATAGAAATTCTCTAAATAAATGTCCGTGTCTACAGCAACAACCATTACCTTTTTCATTCAGCATATTTTACTTTTAATGAGTTGTAAACACTAACAGCCATTTTGAGGGAGATTTATTAAGCCCCGAAGATGAATTCCAGCTGCTCTGAAACAGCTTTTCTTTTTAACATTGTCTCTTTTTAACTACGCTCTTATTGAGTAAGATCTTAACAGACAGCATCAACATCAATCCAGCCAGTACTGACCCACAATCCTGATGAAGACCTCGGCCTTGTCCTCGCCTGCAGGGTTTGCGACAGTGATGGTGTACAGACCCTCGTCGCTTTTCTCCGCCCCGTCTATTACCAGGGTGTTCAGAGTTTTTCTTGCGTCCACTCGGACCCGCCCTTCTGTCGCGTTCACCACCTACCGTCAAGAGCATAAACGAACCGGGGAAAAGAGAGACGTTTAATAGTAAGACCAGAGGCATCACTGGTGATTCACGTTTCACTGCCGTTCTTTTCTGTGACAAACATTGACTTCTTTTATTAGTGCAAAAAAGAGAACAGAGCTGAGGTAAGATCTTCTCTGTTCTAATCCTCACATCATCGCCTTTCATCCAGCAAACAGTGGGCGCCGGGTCTCCTGTGATCTCCACGTCAAGGCGAAGTTTGTTTCCTGCCACCACAGTGATGATGTTTTTGTTGCCACCACTGGTGTCCAGGTGGATTTTGGGGGGATCTTTGGAGGGGGAGAGAAAATGTTGCATGAAAATAAACATTAAAAAAAGATGATTTTTGAAAATCATCTGGACTGGCTAGGTTAGAGAGTTTAGCTTAGCTGACTAATGCAGGTTTAGGCTTTTGTCTTACAGATGAATGTGGTTTGAAAGTCTTCTTTGGGGATTTATGTGTTGTAAATAACTAGGTTGAAGTTTTGTCCTGACTTTGTTGAAGGAGTACAGCTCTGCATTCATCAGCCAGCAGCAGCATTGCTGGTGCACGGTGTCCCATGATGCATTTTTCACAATTAGGGAGCAATCAACAATCAATAGGCCGCTAAAGAGAAATATGCCACCTGTTTGTGGTGTCAAAACATTTGACCAAGTAACAGGATTAGTTTCAGAAATGAATGAACCGGAGCACTCAGAACTGCTGTAGGTACAAGTCACCACTTTCCACACTTAAACTTTGTTGTCTACAAAGTTAAAAACAAGTCTTTGGTTTGTAAGTCAGAGTTCACTCACTCCTTTAGTTTAGTTTACTCTTTTTGAATTGCACAGAAATAGAGCAGTTCTGTTGAAAAGAGCGGGTCAGCGTTAAGCTGTCACTGGTATTTATTTACTAGCATAAAGATGGTGTCACTGATGACACTGCAACATCCAGCTTTTCTAAAACAGTGCTAGAGAATGTTTAGTTAACGCTCATGTTTGGATCTCTCTTCAGGACAATAAAAAGGCAATAAATAAAACAACGTGTACAGACTGTAACCGTAGCAGCACTTACCCTGTCTTGGAACATATTCAATCTTGATCTCTGAGAACAGAAATGTCACAGGGAGTTTTGTTACTTTTTTGGTGTGGTAAGAGTATTAGCAGAGACTGCGTCACAGGTTTTGTACTTGAGTTTTTATGCAGCTCTCACCCAGGAAGTTCAGTTTTGCAGAGAGAGAAATGGCATGGCCGTCAGGGACGAAGGTGTAATCTCCAGCGTCTGACGACTTCACATCATCAATGGTCAGCTTATGGACCCTGGGGATATGTGACCAGATGTTACCAAGGAGACAACGTTTGTTGTGACCCCGCAATTATGCAGAAGTAACGTTGCTATGGTAACGCAGAGTGAAATACCAAGAAAACAGCTTTCACCTTGTGTGACAGCTGTTGCCTTACACTGTAGTCCGCTGTGACGGAGAGACTGCGGAAAGAAACCCTGACTTTGCAGATGTTATGTCTATGCAGAGTACATTTTGTTTGTTTGTTTGTTTGTTTAGGGCTTTACATTATCCAAAAATTGAAATAACTCTGAATAGCCTTTAGAAATAATTTTGTGCCCCGGGACAGACACTGCCTCGTGTAGTAGCCTCCAGATTTGTGGATCAGACGGGCAAAACGCCTTTAGAAATATAAATCGGCCTTGAAAATTGGGTTTTTGATTGTTCTGTTTAATGTATGGTTTATTTATGCAGAAATGCAGGAAATTTGCTGAGCAACCATATTTTTTAAGTATTAAGAATTTAAGTTAAACCAATTTATGTTTGTACATATATACAGTACACACACATTTTTATATATATATATATATACGTGTGTGTGTGTGTGTGTGTGTGTGTGGTTGTGGTTTAGTGTTTGAGTGTGCCATAATTACCTTCCAACATGTGTTATTTTAATGCGTTTGCTGGGCTGGACTTCCACGCCATCCTTGAACCATTTTCCAGTCACTTTTTCATCTGACACCTCACACCTGAATACAGCCTGCTCAGCAGACTTCACTGTCAGGTCAGCAATGCTCTGCAGGACCTCCAGCTCCTTGTCTGTAGCAAAAATGGAAAAAATGGGGGAAAAAAACAAAAAAACAGTACACACTGTAGCAGCTGCATGCCCGTGTATTTTTGGCTTTAACACATGACATGGAATCCAAGTAGTTTTAAGCAGAGGTTGTCAGAAACGGAGCCCCAGAGTCCCCGGCGTGTGGCAGCCCAGTGTTTTTACCAACTGTTTACTCACTGATCTCGCCAAAGTTAGACCTCATTATACAGGTCAGTCCTAACCTAATGATGATGTGTTTTCGCTATAGTATGACAGCCATAATTTGTCCCAGGGCTCAACTTGAAAGTTCAAATCTGTCCTTGTAACAATGTTAGTAATGAGTGATTTAATTCCAACTGAAAACTGCAAAGAATTACTATCTGTTCACACCGACAGGTAAGGTCACCTCCAGAAGTAAATGTTGTTACTGTACTGTAACTGATTTAACCGGTTGTATTCCTCTATGGTACATATCTCAAAATCATGGCCCACAGGCAGAACACAACACGCTACGTCGATTCATGTGGCCCGCCAGAGCTGAACATGTAAAAAATAAAAAGTCTTCAGTATAGAATCTCTATGAATATTTACTGGATGGGTGCAATGTATTTCTTATAGTACTTAAAGTACTTAACAATTTTAATTCTCTATATTCTAACCTAAAGTGTATGTTTATCATAAACTACATCTGCCATTTTTTTTCTCCTTTTTTTTAAATATGCTCTATAAAAACATTGTCACTGACTGAACTTACCTGCAACATCAAGCTCAGCCTTCGACTCTCCACCATTGGTGACTGCGTAGTACATTCCGATATCCTCTTTAGTGGCTTCATTTATGATCAGCATGTGTCTCTTCCCATCTTTTTTAATCCTGTACTTTGACCCAGCAGTTTCCCTGGTCAGCTCAACGCCATCTTTCATCCTGAAGAGAACAGGAACATGTGTTCTAGTTTATTAATATTGGTTTGATTTTTTTTCTCTCTAAACGTCTTTATATAGGGATATTTACGCAGCTACATTGTTAAATGAACTGAGTACAGGTGGCGCTAGCTCACCATTTGACATGGGCTCCTTCCTCTGACACTTCCACCTCAAACTCAACCTTCTCACCCACAACAGTGAGGACATCATCTAAAAGCTTGGTGATGGTGATCGGAGGCTCTGCGGAAGTAAAAGAAAAAACAAAACAAAAAAAAGATCAGAAAGCAACGCCGACGAATGTTAACGAAATGTATAAAAAATTGTAGGGAGCAATAAGCATGGTACTTAAACTATAGCTTAGCATGCACCTGGATGGTTCAACGTGTATGTGTATTTCATATAAAAAACACTGTGTACAAGGCTTTAATTCATGTAAGAATACAGTGAAATACAAAGACAAGTAGAGTTACAGTATATTTATCAATAATACTTTCTATTTGTCAGCAAATAGAATATATATTTATCAATAATACTTTCTATTTGCCAGCTTTTTCAAAATAAAATAAATACCACTAGTTGTAATTGTTTTTCAAGATATTTTTTTAAATCATTTAAAGTTGACAAAAGCAGAAGGTACTTTTTCAAACTGTATATGTTTGTTTAATATTTGTACATTTATAACCAACTATACTCAGTATTTATATCCTGTAATTCTCTGTCGATTGAGATGTTAAAGCCCTAATTTAGTTTGAAAGTTTTCCTTCGTGAGCTCTTTTCGTGAAGCCAGCATTTCAGGGTTCTTCTTCCCTCCACAGCTGTGTGGTTCAGGGCATGTGAATTGATGTTCTCAATACACAGAGAATACACACAACATATGCTAGCTGTGTTTGAATTTAAATCACAACACAATACGCCGCTGAGGTCCATATGAAATCCAGCAAAAGCACCTGTCTTATAAAGCACACAAAGTCCCTCAGGGTGGTGGAAGTCACATTATGTAACCACAAGGTGTGATGCCTGATGTTCTGCAAGGCTCAGCTATTTGTCACCATCAACATCCCGTCCCCCTACGGACGTCTCAGTTCTCTATAACCTGAGCAGCAGAGCCCTGACGGCCCAGTCACTGCGCCGAGCACACATGCACAATGTGAGAGCCAGCTTCACAGGGGTTTTGTGAATTGAGCCTGGTGTCTTCAGAGTCAATCAGGTCTTTCTGCACTTCCGCAAAAAAATCCCTGAGGAACGAGTGGCTGAGACCCAAAAAAGAAAACAGTGGTTATATATAAAAAGTAAGAATAGAGAATAAAAGTTCACTCACTGTAGCCCTGCTTTGACCTAAATACTGTACTGGTGTAAAATGTTTGTTTGTTTTTTGTGAAATTTAATATTAATGAAAGAAATTAGATTGTTATGCATCGTATGTGCTCACCTTCTCACTTGCCAGGCAGTTGCTTAGAATATTAATATCGCATGTGTGATTAAAGACCAAAGACTAATGTGGTAACAGCTGGCTTGGTTCAAACAAATTTGTTTTAGGTGTCGACCAACATCTTGGTATTTTTATCATTTTCCCTGCTTGGGTACAGTGCGTTCCTAGAGTCTTGGCCTCCTGTGTGTGAAAAGCAACTAACCTCGAGGAAAAGTAACAGAAATAGAACCTGCACAGTGTCACGCAGAAAACCAGATTTTTTTTTCTGTGCCAGGATTATAACTTAGTGACTTCAAAGCAGATTAATGTTTTGTTTAAAAGGTAATAGAGGTTTAAGTAAATGATACAGACTATAGGGGGAGAAAAAAAAACCTTGTGATTTAGTTAGAGTTTGTGCCTCCTTTAAAAATGTGGTCCCTGAAATAAATGAATCATGTTGCCAAATGATTTAAAGAAATGTTTTGCCTTTGATGCCACACATTTCAGGAAAACTACTAGAGAAATGTGACGGCACCACATTACATACAGCGAAGTGACAAAGATACATGACAAAGATCAAACCAGAAACATTCAACACACCATGTGGTCATTGAAAATGCATAGAGAGACATTAGAGCACAGTGTGCTGCTGTTTGGTATGAAAGCAATGAAATAAACACAGACACAGGAAAGGGAACAGAGCAGCTGAAGCTCTCGCCTCACAACAAACAGCATTTACTAAGCCAAGAAGGAAAAGGTGACTGGAAGAAGTATTCCTCATAAGGCAGTGACTCATATACCTTTGACGAAAACTTCTGTGAAGCACTTGTCCTCTCCGACCACGCACTCATATGCTGCGTCATCCGAGAGATTGCACTTGTTGATAGTGAGGGTCCGCTTATTGCCTACACTCTCAAACAGATACCTGGACAGGAAGAAGATGGTGGAAAAATATATGTGTGGAGGATGAAGACCAAATGAGGAGGAAGAGAGAGAGACAGTGAGACAAAGAGGGAAAAATTAACTGACTCACAATGAAAAACTATGACGGTAATAGAGAGACTCACAGTTTAAGATCTACACAGTCATGAGCACACACACATTTTTACACACACTTAAAACTTCACAGCTTAGTTTTGTGTGGCTGAGCTGCGATTTTAGACCATGTTGTCCCTCAGTTTATGTTTTTCTAACTTTTACAGTAGAGTGATACATTTGGTGAACTGAATGGTAAAACGTAAATGTTGTGGGTGAATATTTCTGACCTCACTTTTGTGGGAGCCAAATCTGTAAGAGATAAATGGTAGCCTTGAAATGTTGAACGAACTCAAGGTATCGTCTTTGTTTACTGCGGCCTTAAGTTAAAAACTGCAGTTCAACATCCTGGTTTGATGAGAAAAATGTTAACTTTTAATGATGTGTACTTTTATGTCGACAGTTATTCTTGGATTCTTATTGGCTCTATGGAGCAGGAGGCGGAATGGAAATGAGTTTTTGGGGACATTTTTGTTTTGGTGTTGTGCTGTGATATTTAACTCAAGTAAAATATATGCCATGTCTCAAAAGAAGTTCGGGAAACACTGCCGTAAAACAATAATGCTCTGTCTTGAAAATGATTCAGTAATCATTCTCCTATATGAATCAAAGCCCTGGATTAAGACTGTCTCTTTACTCATTTTAGAAAAGATGGCTCCAAGTCTAGTTTCCTGACACTGGATGGAGAGAGAGCACAGACTGAAAGCACCTCCTGGGAGCTTCCATTTAGGGCAAGAAATGTCCCTCTCCCTGAGGTCTTCATCAAAACAGGAAGAGAGCTGCCATACTCTCAGTGAGCTGCATGCTCAAGCACCTCAAAATGGCAGATGGTGAAGTCATTAAAAATGCCAGCTGCAACAGCTGTATTATCATTAATAAAACACCAAAAAAAAAAAAAACTTTAAAGAAGGAGGACGGGCAAAAACTTAGGAGGAGGATCAGAAAGCTAAAGACACCAAAACCTAACTTCTGTATTTGCTGTAGCATCCAAAAAATCCATCATGTTCCCACGATCACGGAGGTTTGACTCACTTGGCTGATGGTTTAATTTCCTGTCCATTTTTGAACCAACGGACCTGAGCATTGGGATCAGCTACTTCCACGGAGAGTTGCATTCTCTTGCCCTTGTCAACTGTGTACGCTGGCTCCAGCTTCCGGATGAAAGCTGACGGTAAAAGTGAAATATCATGATATGAATACATTTCTTGAACTAAGGACATGCTGTAATAGCAGCCGACGATGACTGTCGTTTCACGTGTGCACTGTGGCCTCATAACGTGTCTTTCACCAGCTCTCACCATCACTCTTCTCAGGCTCTTTGGGCTTTTTCATCATCTTCAGCCTCTTCAACATTCCCGTAAAGTCCGTGATACCATACTGAAAGGCAATCTTCTCATAGTCACATGGCTTGGCTGCTTTTAAGATCTCCCATACGTCCACTTCAGGTTCTTTGGGTTCTTGTTTTTTCTTCTCCCTGTTTAGCATATTGTGACATGTCAAACGGACGGCAGCTGATGAAGAAGGCTGAATCTTTGAGAGCAAGTACTGTCTTACCTTTTCTTCAGCAGTGCACTAAAGTCAAGATCTCCAGCGTCCTCATCAGCATCTCCACTAAAAACCAAAAGGATTTGGAGGATTATTATTTTGATTTAAAGAACAGCGAGAAAAATAAAATTGAATCTTAGAAAACAATATACCTTTACTTAATGAAATCATTCTACATTTTCTAATTTGTTTTTTATTCAGAAAAAAAAAATCTATTCAAATGCAAAGCCACATATTTTATGTGACAGTGTGTAAAAGAAAAAGGGAAGTAACTAGGCTGCAGAAAAAGTACATTCCAGGAAATTTGTTTAAAAAAAGTTAACTTGTTGCCAAAGACATTTTCCTTTGAATTTTCTTTGTCTTTGGGTTATTTATTTTTTGTTTTGTTTTTGTTTTTTTCCCCGCAAAAGCTAGTGCCACGTCGTGGTATCTCCATCTCCTCAGCTCCTGCTGTCTGTCCTTGTCATGAAGATAAGATCTGTATTCTTTAATCACATTTTCCTTAACATCCAGATCCTCCAAACCACGAAAACAAGTCATAATCAATAGCTCTAAGTCATAATGCTAAATTTGAGAATTATCTCTGTATGTAGAAAAACTTTTTTGCCTTATGTTATGCATTATTGATAAACCAATTCCCTCGGGTAACTGATATATTCAATCTTCCCCCTGTTTTTTCAGCTACTACAGTCCTGTAGGGTTAGGGTTAGGGTTATAAATATCTTACGTAATTCTTACGTAATTCTATGAACATTTCTTTAGATTTATATTCATATGATCTAAACTGATGTCAGTCTGTTGTGCCGTCTGTAACAGTGAATAGAAACAACTTTCTGAGATTTGTAGTGGAAAAAACACTACAAATGAATAAAAAATACATTTAGTTGAATAAAAAATACATTTAGTATATGGGGAAAAAACTTCACTGCATGCAACTTGTATTACTCCTCTCATGCAATTGTGCAAGAGATATAAAACTGAATGTGTTCTTTGCTCATCACTCACTCTCTGCAATGCATGGCAAATACCAACCAATGTCTACAGGCTGAAGTACTATATACTTTGTTCTGTGACCATTTTGAAGTGCACTTTGAAGTATTGAAGTTTCATGAATTTTCTGAGGCTCACTGAACTACTGGTTTGATGCTGTTCACAGTGTTCATGTTTATCTTCTGGGTGACTCGTTCAATTAACAGTAACATCCATCCCTGTCATCCTTGCCGTTCTGGTGGTAGTAAATCCTCTCTGGGGGATTTTGCCCTTGATCACAAGGAAGCCAGGATAATAAAAGAGTGAGGTTTAATGAACCAGAGGCCCCTGACATGTCTACACCAAATTATCTCATACAGTTTGTCTAAATCAAGACCCAACTCTCCCGTCAACCACGCACTGCTAAGTGGAAAGGGGAAGGCTAACGTGTTAGCCACATGTTAGCTCCATTTCCCAAAGAAACATCAGTGGAGTTAGTGCTGAACGTGGTTCTTTTTCTTATAACCCTTTTCTGTATACCTTTCTGTATAAGTCTTACCTGGTGATGTAATAACTGGCTAATCCACAAGGGGGTAATATTATATACAATTTATAAGGTCACTTTATTTATTGGTTCCCAAAGGTTTTATGCAAAGTCCTATTCCTTCCAAACGTCACTAAACCTAACTAACTGTAATTTGTTCACGCTATTCTTCATGAACAAAGGAAATAATATGATAAATCAGTGCATATGTGAAATTGAAATGTATGCCTGCAATATCTACCTCACCCTATACCCCTCACCATCGATTTTCAGTAACTCATGATTTCAAAAAACAGCAACTTCTCAGTTTATTTTTAGCCCATCAGATTTAACCTGCCACTCTGACCCAATTGTTTAGTTCAGATCTTTCAATATACTGTTTCACCGTGCGATGCCAGAAACCCTTCTAGGATAACAGATGGGACTCGCTGTCGTGAAGAATTATTTGCAGGCAGTTCTTACATGAACATCATCTTCAGATTCCTCTGAACGACCTTCACGTAAAAAGGTGTTATAATGCATTCACCATTTTTCTCTTCAGCAGCAGATTTGAGTTTTAACCAACATTTCACTTTTCATTTATCACACTAATCTCTCTCCCTCATCCTCGCTGCCTGGTATCAGCATCCTTTAAAAGAACGCTCTGGCCTTTTGTGTCAAGCCCGATATGCTTCTGTCTCCTTGTGTGGTGCATTCACCTGTGCCTTTCTGAATGAGCACTAATGACGAATGGAAATTGTATTTTTCCCTATTCTTTACAAACACAGAATCTGAAAATGTCAGCACATTTAAAGCAAAGATTAAAATCTACAATGTATAACAGAAAACAAGGGAAGTAGACAGTAATCCCAGAATACATTGCACTGTATTAAAAAATAATAATATAAAAGTCAGTGAGTGCTACACTGCACAAAAGTGTTCAGAAAAGATGTGATACAATTGAATAGATGTGTGACCATGAGGGACGCCAGGTGAGGCAAACCAGCACGGTGGCAGATGCAGTGAGACGTGACAGAGAGAGAAATATGGCAGACAGTCTGAGTCGAACAAAGTCAGCTGCAACTCAGAGACAGACAAACACGAGGCAGAGACACTCGTGGAGACTGACAGTTGCCCAAAGGCAGTGATCTACAGAGCAGCATATGGCAGACAGTGTGGCGAGTGACATGTTGAGTTTACCCTTGCCAAAAGTGACACTTACGATCGCTTAAAGGCCTCCAAGATGTTGTCCTGCTGCTCCTCTTGTAAGGCTGAAACCACACAGAAGGGCAGCGACTGGTGAGAAGTAGGCCTGGTCTAATTCATTAAGCAGCAGGCTGCAGCAGCAGCAGCAGCAGAATCATGGACCGATGACCTCACTGAGCCACTAAATGATAGGCCCTAATGTGCATCACACTCACAGAGTTATTGGCTGACAAAGCTGGTTATATAGTAAAGGCAGAAATGCTGAATGGAAGATGACAATAATGTGATTAAGAGTCTGTCTCAGGACTTACCCTCCACTGAGACGTCGAACGTGCAGCTGTCGCACTTGTCCTTGGAGGTGACCTCGCAGCGGTAGCCACCTGCGTCTCCATCTACTATTTTGATGATGCTCATCTCGTAGGTGTAGATCTGATGGAAAAAGAGGGCTGATATGCCAACAATACTCACCAGGAAAAGGACACACACCTAGAATGAGTTCATCAGTATACAGAAGGAGCACACAAACAGAGTGACGACAGACCATGCAGCCTGGTAAAGAGTCTGTGAGATTTACTACTATACTGTAAAATACACAAAAGAAAATAGGTGTTTCAGCAAAACTTTGGAACTCTTTGGAACTCTTGAAGTATTTGACTGTAATTAGTATTCATCTAAGACACTGTATTTAGATTGCACTGTTCTAACACTTGAGTAAGTCAAAATATATACTGTATAAATAAAGTATATAATGGGAAATTGTTTCTCTAAAATGTTATTCCTTAACTCTCCTCACAACTGCACTAGTTTAAAAGTACAATCTGTACAGCAGATGTTCTTCCTGGCGCATCCTTCCCCATGAATCCAGCACTTTGTGATTGGACTGCTGTTGTGGGAATAAATGTCTTGCTGTTGTTGTTCAGTTCCACAGAAATGTATGACACTGTGGTCTTCAGTGTGTGGTTTCGGATTTTAATTCAATTTATCTGAGATAAGAATGTTGGTTAAAAAAAATGAAATCACCATCTGACACTTTTGCATGACTCCACCGCAATGAGAACAGTCATTCTGGACAGTTCGTCCTCTAGCTAACTACCTCTCACCCTTTTCTCCACTTCCTGCTCATCCTATTTTACCATCTTTTCCTATTTTCTCCATTGTCCTTTGTGCTTTGGTTGGTAAACCCAGTAAATTATACTCATTTGTTACTCTGAATCGTTGCATCTACACCTTCTATCTCTACATGTATCCTGTTGTCATCTTGCTTTTTTTCTTCAATACAATCAATACCGTGCGCTCAGTTGTACCTTGGTGTTCCTGTCATACGACTCCTTAAACTTCAGGTGTTTCCCAGCTTTGCTGCCAAGGTCGAGCCACTTCCCCTTCAGCCATTTCAAGGTCGGCTTCCTCGGTAAAGTTGAAGAGTCCACTTTAGCCACAAACGTGATGTCCTTGCCTGCCAAGAGTGGTGATGTAATACTATGGTGGTTAATACTGTGGACATACACAAATAACTGTCCATATGCCTGCTGCGTGGTATTGCAGCAACAAACGTGTGGGATGTGATTTAAAACTCAGACGGCAGCTCACCTTTAATTGCTGTGGCACTCTCTGGTTTCAGCACAAACAGTCCGGACAGCTCGGTCGACTGGGCATCCTCCCCTGGTGCCTGTTCTGTGATGTGTTGGATGGAAGAAGAGTGTTTCACAGTGAAACAACAAAACAACACAAGGAATTACCATATGGTATAACATTCCAATGGGGACGTGGAAAACAAACTGTATAAAATGATTTGAGACGAGGGGACCAAGCAAACCAGCAGATCAGCAGAGTGAAAACTGTTGGCTACAAACTCTGAAATTCCTTTTAGAAACCAGGAGAGTTCAGTTGTCTGGTTCTCTGTAACCTGGGCTTGATCCGGGATCTGGGAAACTAACTAATTTTGTTCATCCGTTGCCTAATGTGTTGTAATGACAATAAAGAACCTTGAGTCCTTGAGTCCTAAACTTGGATGACTGACAACCAACACAGGCACTAATTGTAAGTATTTGTATTTAACCTAAAAACTCCTGGGAAACACGATAAGAGACGACCCCAAAATAAATCTCTTGCGACCCAGTCTTTGGGAAACAATGCTCCATAACATAGGTCAACACTGCTGTTGATGTATTGTCATACACCCCCTTTAATAAGTTTGAATCAGGTATATTGTTATGATTAATATGAAATGCGCAGGCAGTCACCTCATACAATACAGACACATTACAGCGAGACTCGTTTACAATTAACAGCACAGCAATTTAACATCCATTGAATGTTTTGGAGAGAATGAAACTGGGGTCAAATGTCACCTTAGGTCACGCACCTCCATAAATCCAGGGAGCCACAGCAGCAGTGTTTCTTCCCCTCTCTCTCTCTCTCTCTCTCTCTCTCTCTCTCAGCTTTTATGAGCTCAGTTAATTTGATCTTTTAATCAAAAGTGCCCGTGAGGACAGATCCAAGTTCAGATGTTCAGGATGATTTAAAAGGTTTTGGATGGAATGCTAAGTGGTTTGAGGCGATCCTGGAACGGTGTCCAGGGGACACTTTGGAGCATCTGTACTTGTGATTATTGATATCACACTAGACACTTGTTGTGTTTGGAATGAGAGTTGCTAGGTGGAATTTACTACACACTGTCCTTGATTCTGGATATGTTTGGAGGTTGGATGACAGCCTTCTGGGACTAATTGAGTAAAATCCCTGTCTAACCCCTGTTCACGCTCTGGTGATTTAAATCAACCAAGTTAAAAATAGATTGTTAATGCTTCTTTTATGGGTACATCATTTCTCGAAACGTCCACATCGTTTCCTAAGACTTTCCACAAGTGTGAATAGCACAAAACATATCAGCCCAGTGTCTAGTTTTCATTCGTGTGCTATTCAAAACGGTCCTTTTTTATATATGATGTGACCTGTTTATTTAAACAGACATAATAATATATAATAATATATAACTACATTCTACCCCAAAACCACAGTATTTTTGATTAAAATGTTCTAAAAAATCTAACCATTGAGTTTATATAAATTTTTGGGCCATTAAGTTTTACATGGTGAACAAAATCTGCAGCGAACAGACAGTTTTCAATAGATTCATTTTCTCAAACACCTGTTTTTCTCTTTTCTTCTTTTTTCTCACTACAGTAATCATCATCAGTGTATTTTCTTCATAAGGAGTTGGAGTCATTTCTAATTCAGACACTGGTGACATTACAACAATACATACACTGTGAGCACTAGAACAATCTTCTACTCACCATCACAAGTACTCATAAATACTCAATGTACTCTCTCATTATTTAACATGAATTCAATGCTAACATTAACTAGAGAATCTTCTCTTTTATGGTATCAGCTGTCGTTTTTCTAACATCCATAAGTTCCGTGAACACAGGCATCAAGTACAAACACTAGTACACAAAGAAACACACACACACACAAAAAACAAACAACCACCAGTGCTTGACACAACCTATTTACCTCACGCTGAGCTGGACGACTATTAAAAACACTCAACAGAGACGGAGGGAACTGACCTGACTACATAAGTGAGGATGCAGATTTAATATTTAACATATCCCACTGATATATGCACAGCACACATGAACCCACAGCGCTGTGACTGGGCAGCACTTAGTTTCATGAGCCAGAGAGTGCTCTCTGAGTTATATTGATTATCTTAGACGTATAACCACGTGTTGCAGCTTAACCGATGAGTTCAAACACACACACACACACACACACACACACACACACACACACGCCTCAACATGCGTCTTTGTTTAGCCAGAAACCTACCAAAGAATCTCTCCAGACAGTGACACATGTGTCATTTAATAGCACTAGGAAAAAAAACATTTGCAGGAGCAAATGCAAGGAGTATTACCTTCAGGTAATACACTGGAGCCTGATGGCAGTCAATACTCAATGTGATGACCTGCAGTGTAGGTGTAGTCTCAGTATTGGGTCTCAGAATGAGCTATTCACCTTAAAAAGCCAATAACTTCTGGGTAAGTGAATTTATCAAATCTACGAACCTAAACTAGTGGGCCAGGAAGCAGGTCCAGTTCAAACCAAATAAATCACTGGTAATTACGATGGTTTCCAACATACACACAATCCATGTTGGGTCTTTTGGACCCGACAAACAAGCCTCGACTTAATCCACACTCACACATCTCGTTCATACATGTCCCTGCTAAAGTGTGTCTAATTGACAGCTGCTCAGCTATTCCAAGGTTTGACAGGAACTGTCAGTAAAAGCCTGCTCTGCTTGGGTTAACGACGGTCGTTAGAGCTGTCGGAGTCTGCTTAAGTTTCATGGCGCCTGTGCAGGTGTCATGTGGCTTTAGGTGATCTGGCTTCACCTAAGGCTAAATTAGAATGTTTATTTGGTCCCCCAGGAAGAAGGGAGATGGGTGGTGGAGTTGCCGCATTCTGATGGAGATCGCTCCTGTCACTTCTGCTTTGAACCAACTGTCATCTACGTCTGAAATGTGAATGGAAGTTAAGTTCCCCGTTAGCTAATGTAGTCAGTGTGAGCAGATGACATGGGTTTCTTTAAAGGCTGTTCAGTTTCTGCCATATATTGTACAGGAGTACAGGAGGCTACGGTTAGCACACCTAGATAGATGGAGATAGCAACAGAGAAAGTGAGCAAGTGAGAGAAACAGAGGGAACAGTGTGCTCTGTAACATCTGCAGGTTTTATTAGCCACTTATTAATTTCAGCCAGATGGCACAAAGGCAGCAATAAGGATCTTTTTGGTTCTGTTTAAAGAAAACCAGATGGATGTGTATTTACATTCCAAAATTCTTGCAAATGCAAATGCAAGACTGAAATCTGTGCAATTATTAAACACCTTCATATTTACTTATTAAAAGCAGGAGGAAAAACATCTCTTTTGTGTTTTCTTATTGACCCACCTTTGCATGAACATACATTTTCTTTTTGTGCAAGTGGAGTTTCCTTCTTTCTTTCCTTGCTCTGTCTCTTTATGCTTCAATGCCTCAGACGGTTTTAAGTAGCAGACATACTGTATCTAGACCGCAGGCAGGCCTACTCAGCCATACTTTTGTGACTTTTTTTATTGCAATTTTTTTGCACCATGTGCTGTGTTTTTTTAAGTTGTTTGTCTTTAAAAGTAGTAGTTTGATTGTCATTGAAACACTCCTTGTAAATTAAAGGTTAGAATCACATTATTATTTTTTATTTTTCATTTTTTTTACTTTAGTAAGCCCAAGTACATTTGCCTAAGAGTTTATAAAGAAGCGTTGAGTGAGTCAGATTCATACTGCCTGTTTATAAGATAATGTTTTATTCTGCGTACGTATCATTATGGGAGCCTCTTGTGCAGGAAATTTCCATAAATGAACACACATACACTGTGTTACTGCACTGTATTCTGGTGCCTTTTAAAAAAAATGCACACAGCTGCAGCTGCTAATCTATACCCTATACACTGCAGCACATGGAGTTAAAAGTCTGTATAATGCAGCTACTTTGCTGTGAGCTACTAAACCCACGCACAATTACTGCAGACATGTGGGAAATGTGGGACTCAGGTAATACATCAAAAGTCCTCCGAAGTAAAGTATGACTGGAAATCTGTTGGAAAAAGAAAGTACTTTTCACTTCATTTAAAACATAAGTAAAATATTTCCTGAATAGTTTGTTCATTACTTTTTTTTCAACCAACAAAATAAAAGTATCTTACAGCATGCCGTCTACACCCATGCATTATGTATCAGTCAATTTCAAACGGGATCAAACCTACACATTGTCCCAATATTCTGCTAAAGAAGACATGGATCCAGTGACCGCAACAACAAACATTATTAACTAAGATGTTCCTTATATTCGACCTATAGTAGGATTTATATTTGTAACCTCTCTCTCAGCTTCTGCGACTTGACAGACAACTTAAAATAAACACATAAATGCAGCAAATGCACACAGATGCAGAGACACAATGTGATACCGACCCATAAATTACACACCTTCAGTTATGCTCCTGACACCCACTGTTATTTTCCAACTAAAACAATCTCATAACACATCACCGGTGCTAATGAAAAATATATTTGTGTGTGTGCGTGCAGGAGCGAGGATCATGCAACTTCACACTTTGTTCCATCACCACAGAAGTTAAAACTTTCTGTGTTTGTGTTTTTGCTATTTCAGTCTTAAACTCTTACCCTCCTCTTCTTCAGGCATCTCTAAATGAGGGAAATACACCATATTTTGTGGATGATAATGATGACAGTGAAGAGGTAAGTTCAAATGAGGATGATGATGATGATGATGGTTGTGTTTAAACCTCACAGATGAGACACACAGACACCACATGCTGTGGGATTTTCTTACCCTTCTCATCTGAAATGAGAGAGACAGAAAACAAAACGATCATCGTGAGAAGCTCTAATTAAGATATTTGCTGTTCATTAGTCATTGCAGTTTAACTGTATCGTAGCTCATCACTGTATGAATAACTCAGAAGTGAATTGGTTTTTTGGGGGGGTTGAAGCAGCGCTTCTGGGCTCAGATTGGATAGCATCACGGCACTTACCAGCAGGGGCTGCTGCAGCCTTATCACCTTTGGCTGCTGTAATTAAACAACAATTATATAAATTATTTTTTATGTTCTGTCATATCAAACAACTGCAGGGCCACAGAGGAGAGTCGAGCCTTTGAGAGTGGGGACTCACTAACATGTTTAAAGAGCTGCAGCTTGTGATGTGAATCCTCGGGAGGCACAAAAAATTAATGATCATCTCTATATATATCTGGGGGCACATCAGTTGATTTATCTGCAGCGCCACCATTTTTAGAGTACAGGCATTTTTTCTGGTTGCCGTGAAAATGAGTTTTTAGAGGAGGCACACTGTGGATACCTACTTCTGAATAGAGGAATTATAAACCTATGACAAGGTGCAAAACTGCAGCAAATGCACTTTAAAGGAAAACATTAGCTTTTATTTAAATAGATACACATTAATAAGTGTCACCTTCTCTAAAGACCCTCACTTTAAACACATCTCCCGGATTGCTTCGTGGTCTCCGGGCAGATTAATATGATTCCACATGGTTATTGACATAATTAAGTCAGGGATCATATATGAACATTTGGGTTTAAAATCATATACAAGGCTCAGCCTTTAAGATTATTATTACTTTTAATGGTATTTTGTTTAATGGAAAGTCCAGTTAAGAACCACCACCAACCAATATTGGTGTGCTATTGAGATTAGTTACAATGTATTATAATGTTCTGCATTGTCAGCCCTATTGGATGTAATGTATATTATTCCATTATTTTGTTGGAAGTAGTTAATAAACTTTCAAAGTTTCACTTCGCTGCTTAATCCATCTGCCCAATCAGAAATGCTGTAACGTGTGTTTAAAGATTATATATAAAGCAGGAACCGTATTGTTTACCTCAAGAAAAGAAAATGCTGCACAATTTGATCCTGTTTTTTACAATGTCTATATTAAGTACAGTGCAGGTATTATACCACTTGATAGGAGTGAAAATCATTTTTGGACTGGTATTTGTTTCTGCAGAATCAGTCCTGGCATCGGACGTCGCATCAGTGGTGTCGAGCCATCCCCAGTAATTTTACATCATACTCTCAGGATCCTGGAATTATGTTACTTTTAAATCTCAGTGGTGTCTGATGAGGTGGATAAGGCATGACTCTCCATCTGTCTCATGAGCGTAGCCACAGTCATGATTCAACTGAGGCAGCATTCACATTGATATCACCACTTCTACATAACTGTTACCTCCTTACCAGCCCTGATTGAATGTTTAGAAAAGGTTTCATTGCACCACTTTACTTTGGAGCTACAGTTGACACAGCAAAGCAAATAAAGTACTGAGTTCCAGAAATGAAGGAGGGCATCCTCTTAACAGCTATCATCTCACCAAACTACCTAGAGCAAGCCACAGCTGGCACTGGAGAGCAAGAGTCCCATGAGCCTACTTAACAGAGATATAAGATATCAAGGCTAGGCCCTGGCGCTCTGCTTGATGCTCAAGGCTGGCATAGCATGTCTGGAATACACCAGTGGAGGGGGCAACACTTCTATTTTAGATTAGTGTTCTTTTCAGGGGGCAATCTGTTAATGCCACGCTCAGCATTCAAGTCTAAGAGGAGATCTGTGACGCACCAGGCAGTAAGAACTGTCTTTGGATTCCTACGGAGATATCTGACCTGCTACTACGCTGCGAGGCAGACAAGAAATTGTATTTATTTAACTTCTATGTCTAAAGATTATCTTTTGAAGGTTTTCAATCTGCTTTGAGCTTTGACTCATGACTCGAAAATGACATGTATTCATCATGTACACATAGGAATACTGCTTGGTAGTTTTTTTAAACAATTAAAAACGGTACTGTAAAGAGAGCAGGATGGATTGTAAAACATTTCTATTAGAATGTAAAAATGAGGGAAATTTGACTTTTAACCTAATATATATTCCAACCAAGCAGCCCATTCTTTACACCGATACACAGATTTTCCCCTTAACAATCCTCACACCATCAAGGTCACTGCTGCACGGGCCGCAGAGGATTAGATCTGGTTTTGACTTTTTTTTTGTATGTGTGGTTCATCATATTCCATCGCTTTTTTGTAATCTTTTTGTAACTGTCATTGCTTTTTCTCTTGCTATTTTTGTGGCTAACAATTTGATGCTGGTGGTTGGGGGACGTCCTTGAACGTAGACCGTCTGTATGCTCCTGTGTGAAATACTTTATGCAGATGACAACGGGCAAGAATTGCACATCAAAGTGATCTCACAGAGAGGCACATATTTGCTGGCAGCCCCAGGAGAGGGAGGGAAATAACATGGATTTGAATTTTTAGATTTAATCCACAAGAAAAGACGTTGAAAAGTCAAACGGATGTTAGACTTTCTTAGTAAGTGAGAAGGAAGCTAAAGCAGTTTACTCTGTGTGCGCATGGAAAAATAATGATCATTTAACCTTTTCACCTCGCTCTCCTGTGAAAAAGACAGTAGTGCACAGAATTGTATTTGCTCACTACAACGACACAGCTTAGTGTCATAGTTAACGTGCTGCTTTTGAGCTAGTCGAGTGCTTCGCATGTTCACCATCCTAGCGTAAAACATTAGCATTGCAGTAACATTGCTAACATGACAATGGTGATTCACAAGCGAAGCTGGACTAAGAGGAAATAACCAGTCATCATTATCAGGATTTCTTAACCACTGCGTGTAAGTTGGCCACAACATATTGAAAACACAGCAATTGTACATGGAAAAATATCCCCATATTTATCCCCATCGTGCAGCACTGTGACCTGTCTGAGCACTGTGTTACCTGATAATAGTAAGAAAAGAAACTGAAAAAAAGAAAACACACACCTGATTTGTCAGATAAAGTTGTTGGGTGTAGTTGGGAGGGAAGGAGGGTATTGGCAAATATGGTTAAACTTGAGGTCTCTAATTCCATGCCAAACGTGAACCAATTGATGTGTTATTATATGTTGCATGTGGGCTGCATCTTGACAACAAACATCGCCTCAGAGCTGTCAAATTAACACATTAGTAGGATACAATTTTTAACAAATTTAAACCACGGGTACAATTGACCTGGACTGTAAACCCAATAATTCCACTGTCTATTGACTTTCCATTGCTCTAATACACTGTCGATTCACACATTATTTACACGCAGCACGGTGAAAGGATTTGTTTTCGACAAATCACCTCTATTGACCTCCTCTAGGTTCTATGTTTGGCCCACATGGGCATGACTAGCTGTTCCTGCGATATGCCCATTTCTTCTCCTGTGCCACCCTGGCCACTCCCAATGATTAACACCTGTATAACAATGTAACTGATAGTGCAGAATTGGCAGCCGTGGTTTGTCCATTCTGTCCCTTGCTTGTTGAGCAGGAACTGGATGTCGACATGTTACCTAATAACAAATAAATGTGAATGTCAAGGAAGAACACAATCTATGATGTCGCTTTAAAAAAAAGGGCCAAATTTGACCTTTAAGTTTCATCAGCTCCACATGAAACACTGATTTAATTTGCCCAGATAGGACAAATCTATATCATCTCAATTAGAATGCAGAAGGTGATTTAGGCTGATTAGATAAGTCTCTTTTCAAGCTTAAAGAAAAAAGATCTTTCCTTGTGTAGGTCTTGAGAAACGACTTTAATCTTCAATATTGCTTAAGTGACTCCTTTTTTCTGCACTGTGAGCCCACCTGTCTGTTCTGCTTTAAATCACAGTGCACTGTGACCTTTGACCATCCCGGGCTAATGCTAAAGGTAATGCTGAATTGATGAACATGTTGAGTGAGAAGTGTTTATCTACGGCCTCTACAGAGTCCACACATCTCAAACTGTCTGGACTAGATAATTTCACGCACAGCAGCCGTCTCTCTCTCTGTTTTCTCCCAGTAACTGTTAATTGGATAATGTCTCTTGTGCTCCGTTTCTTCCTCCTTTTAACTTAATGCAAATCCCCACTCTCAGCACTTTTGGTCCAAACATTTCTTTGTCCTACTTTAATCTGATTCAACATTCTTCTAAGGGGGAAAAGTTAAGGAAGACGGAGTGTGAGGAGAGGTGGGAACTAAAAGGGGCAGAGAAAAGAAGGATGAGCAGGGCCGCTGGGGTCAGGGATGGTGTGAAGCCCCATGTTAAGAGCCTAGGGATTGGGTTCGTGGCTGGTGGAGACGAGATGATACACACTGTTTATATTTAACAGATATCAAGTGAGATGCTCACTGAAAGTGGATTTTATTTACTTGCTTTTTGCTGACTGTGTTAGTGTCCTGTGCACCTTTAAATACAGACAGAAGTCATGGTCTGCATACCATAATTATAGGCCAGTTTCACCAGCAAAAGCTAATATTATCTGAACCTCTTAACACTTGAAACAGATCTCAGAATGGTTCAGACTCTAAACTGATTAAGAGTACACCCATATTAAGACCTGGAGTGGCGTTTGTAAAGTAATGACTCTCTAAGGTCTGCAGGAGGAGCAGAGAGCCTGAGCTGGGGATCTTCCTCTGACTACAGAGTGATAAAGATAAATACAGTTGTGACTGTAATGTTAAAAAAAGAAAAAAAAAAAGAACTGTATTGACTCTAAAAATACCTGATAGTTTTATTCTGGTTATAATTAGTCAGAGCTCATTAACCACATTGGAGCAGCAATAGTAGTATAAAGCTTTTACATGTAAAAAAAAAAGAGAGAGAGAGAGAGAGAGAGAGATTCTGAATGAAGATTTACTTCAAGTATACAGTGGCCTTTACTTGTGAGAGGAAAACAATGACTTCTATTTAAGGTCATATGAAGTTGTTAGCAGTTGTAGGCTTAAAAATTAGCTC